CCTGCAGGCGTTTTTTTATTTTCTCACAATTTTGCTGGCCAGAAGGCCAAGATCAAGGTGCTGGCAGGGTTGGTTTCTAGTGAGATCGCTTTTCCTGTCTTGCAGATGGCCAACGTCCCACTGTCCTCAAATGGGAGAGAGCGAGCTCTGGTGTCTTTTATAAGGGCACCTCCTTTTATAAGGGCACCAACCCTATTGGATCAGGGCCCCACTCTTCTGACCTCCTATAACTTTAGTTACCTCTCTAAGGACTCCAGCTCCAAATACAGTTGCATTGGGGGTTAGGGCTTCAACATATAAACCTGAGGCGGACACGGTTCGGTCCACACCACTATAATACATGCACTTCGGTTTCCTTTTTTTAAAAAAAATTTTCAATCCATAGTCTAGCCCACATTAGCCTCTTGGACTCTGGAGTTGAATACCTCTGAGTTCCAGCCCCGATCACATTTTTGGGATCTCTGTGACTCTGGGCAAGATACTTAACCTCTCTGAGCCTCCTTTTCCTCGTCTGTGAAATGAAGTACTGAAGACAGAACCAGCTCTTGTGGTCAGTCTCTGGCTGAATGAGATGCCCAGCAGCGCACAGCAAGCACTCGCCATGTGTGGTCTTCTCATTTGTGTTAGGAGCACTCCCCAGGGCTCCCAAAAGCCTTGGACAACATAATATTCAATAGCTTTATTTTTAATAGCTTAATATTTAATAGCACTCCAGAGCACGGATGTGCCTAATTTCCGTAACCATCCTGCTAGGTGATTGGAGGGCAGAGAGAAATTACGAGGAAGGCGGCCCTGGCACTTCTGAAGCCAGCAGGCAGTGTGTTAATCTGCAGGGCTGCTAGAAACTTGGCATGGAAGGCTGGCCTCCCAGCCGTGCTCTGGTCAGATGGAGACAAAGAGGGCAGGAGGAGAGCAGAAGAGCCGGAATGAAGGGGCTGGCGGGATGGATATGCAAGGCGGGAAGTCACATCCTGGGCGGATGAGAAGCATCACTCGGCCCAGTGGAAGGTGGGGTGTAAAGAGAACGGGGATGTTACGAGCTAGAGAAGAAATGCTGGTTGAGTGTTTGGGAGACAATCTCTGAGATGCTGGGGGTCAGGGAGGGGAAGGGCTGCACACGCCAGGCACCCCTGTCCTCAGTGGCCCACTGGGCGCAGCTTTCTCCCTGCTGTCCCCACCGTGGCTGTCATCCCCACAGACAGAGCACCCTCCACGGAGCAGCCACAGTGGTATACAAGGTCGGAGCCAGAGCAGGACACCTCCAGCCTTCCAGTGGCTTCCAGACAGAATCCAGACTGTATGTCACCATCCGGCCTCCTCCTCCCCTCTTAGCTCATCTCAGAACTCACAGGTTGAGCTCTTAGCCCGAGGGTCTTCCCTCACGCTCTTGCCTCCTTCCTGAAGGTTCTCCCCA